CTGCGGTATGTGTGGCGCTACTTCAGCACCTGCCGCAGAGTGAATATATGGTCTATACAGCGACTTCCTGGGCAGAAAGCTGCCTGTTCTTACCTAATCCGAAATTCTCGTTTAACAGTGAGGCGACGAAGGAGAATCGAGACCAACAAATTTGTCACAACTGGCGTTAGGCTAATACCCCTGTGGTTAGAACAGTCGATGCGACTGCCCTTCTTGTATATTGCCACTATAATAGATTCGCTCCAGTTAGCCAGGACACTTCCTTCGAGCTATTTCGAATAAAGAGGCCAATGCTTTGCAGAGCACCTCACCTCCATCATCAAATAGTGAGATGGAAGCGGATCCGGGCGAGCTGCACGAAAACAACTGAGGGCTGTGATCGCGTTTCGGACCACGGCCTCCGACAGGGGCTCTAAACTAACCGGCCATGGCTCGTGCTGCATCACCTGAGTAGGAAGAGGTGCATGAGCACTGGCCAGCTGAACTGATAATGGACCGTTACGCCCAACGAGCCACACGGCGCTCTTTAGTGTGTATCAGTGCACCCACACTATCTACGATTGTCTCACTGACGCCGGCTTTCCTGGGACCAGTGGGGCGGATCAGCTGGAAGAGCTTGCGGTAGTTGCTTAATTCCCCCGTCTCCTCCAATTCTTGAGCCCGATTGGTCCACCAGGTTTCTTTGTCAGCACGTAGGCTCCCCCCAGTTGAGCTTCTGAAGAGCACAGACGCCATACTAGTGAGTTCCATCCCCTGCAACTACAAAAATATTAGAACTAGTAGTACCGTAGTAGCGCGTTCAGTTCGCGATAATATGTGTCCTTGATTGCATTTGAACTGCGGTCGGTAAGAGCATAAATGCAAGTCAAAAACAAAAAGCGTTTTGCACCACTTTGTGAATCAACCATAGCTGATGTCGTCAAACAGGCTGCACATAAAAGGCCGTGCACCGGAATCTAAAAAACCAACGATGGCTCAGCATTGGAGTTTAGAACGATACCAACACCAGCTTGCCCTTGAGTGTTGCATCGGCGTCTACGGATGCGTGCAACCACTAACGAGAGGATAAGACGGACAAAGTTAATTCACCAACACAACAAGGGACATTGACCATAGTTTCGCGCACACTACACACATCAACATCCAGTGTGTAAAACATACATGCAAGAAACCGGTAAGTAAATCGAATGCAGCGTACGTACAAACGCGGCGCCGGTTCTGTCTACGTTCTCCGCAGGACACGTCGTCACTTCAGTGATGACCCCGAGCGGCCTCGCTCATGGCTCACTAGGCCTGTTTGACTCAGACCATCGCGAGCGCATGTGCTACAGCCCCATGCGCTCGGTGTCAGCCCCAGTCGCTTTCGCAATTGCCGCTTCTTCCCCGCATGCATGAAGCCCATCTCCTGCACCCAGGCAACGGCCTTCGTCAAAAGATCGCGCCATGTACGCCGATCAACTGCTTTCAATTCCCATGACCTGCAACCAGGATTAGAACATGACTGGCTCAATTTGATCATGTCTTGGTAAGGAAGATTCGGATTACCCAAATTCCGCGCCCCACTACTCAGCTGACCATATATAACAGTTGTTTCGGTAAAAGCATCAAATCAATACGCCACACACGATCAAGCCACCACAGATGTCTCAGCAAAAGTATACAGTCAACTGCATACATACCATTTCGGAGCCACACTTCCGTGTCCGCAAATTCGTCGCACCAACCGATGTGCAGAATAATTCGCAACACTACTGATGGAACCGCTCGAGATATCACACATCCCGCCGGTACATCGTCCACGTTTCACCGCCGTATAGTAGAACGGACAGCACCACGAATTTGTACACTATCAGCTTCGTGCCAATGGTAAGCTGATGGTTGTTCCAAATTCAGTAGTCAAGCTTCCCGAATGTCGCCGCTGCCTTCGACAAGCGGATACGTAGCTCACTGTGGATCTGCTGGTTAGCCGACATCACATTCTCAAGGTAGCAGAAGCGGGAGGTGGTTCCTATACTTCAGCACTAATGTTAATTTGCGGCAATATTGAAGATTGCACCGTCAGTAAAGGCTGAAAGAGACAGACAGTTTTGCTTGTGTTGATGGTGAGCCCGAATTTTACAGCTGTCGATGCCAGAGCACTAGTCATGTGCTGCAACTCATCCGAGCTGGGTGCAAACAACGAACAGTCGTCAGCAAACAGCAACATACGGATAGTTGTCTCACAGACTAGAGTTCTTGCACCGAAACGACGGATGTTCAGCAACCCACCATCAATACGCTGCTGAGCAAGAGGCTCTCTGCGTCTCATCCAGTGTCCGGTAGAGAAATACGTCGAGTAAATGCTTGATTTGTTCATTCACACATTAATCTTTGATTCGTAGCATTACATATCCAACCCTTGTTGCTTGATTTTGCAATTTTACTCACTTAGTAACTCGATGCATGTTGTTTCATCGCCGGCATGCAAGCTGAACTGAACTGCACCCATTCGCAATAAAAGTAACAGCCAAACTACAGATGGATACGATGGATTACGTGCACTTCTGTCCAATATGTGTTTTGCTGAGACACATAAATGTCAAATTTTGTGAAGTTATGAAGGGGGAATTTACGGAAATCATCCCGAGGAGAAAGCGGACATTGGGAAAATCAATGATACGATAGAAAACAAATGAGCAGTTACTATTGGGTTGTATTAAGAGAGGAGCATGTAGGCATGAAATGGTTCCAATCGACTACATGACCAACGTCGGAAACCAGCATGAACGGGCCAAACGAGAAATGAGGCTCATTTGTTGAACAATACCACGGTTTGAAATATGTATTTCCCTTCATAATTCCAATGAGGTGAAATCGATCTCAGCGACAAGAGCAATAGAACAATGAGCATTAACAAACAGTCTGGTTGGTGCCAACAGAGTCTGTGACATTACCAACTAACTAAACCATATTCAAAACTAAATCAAAATTTTGTATACTCACCCATATGAACAAGTCTGATGTGTTCTTGTAAGTTGCCTTTTCGAGAAAACGATTTCTCACAATGTTCACATGTATACGGACGTTGATCTAGATTGGAGAACAGAATGCGAATGAAGGAAGACGTTAGAAGGACTGTACACAATTTGCGAATTCAACGATGCACATAAAACAACACCTGCTAGTGTACTTAGATGACTCAATCGCCAAACAGTCTAGAGGGTCTTGTATGCTCTGTGAGTCGTCACTGATTAAGGCAATATCATGAGCATAATCTAAGTTGATGGACCGCTTAGCCGGTAGTAGCCGTAGATTTTGGTAACCGTCTAGAAATCACGATAAGACGTCTTCAATTGCAAAATAAAAGAAGTATGATAACATAGGGCAGTCCCGTCGTACACCGCTACTGACAGCGAAGGACGGTGAAAACCCGCCATAGACCGTCACTCATCCAGAGAAACGGAGGTAGCGTGTGCATAGGATGGCAGTGTACTGTTCTGGTATCCCGCTCTCCTTAGAAAGTAATGGCATGGCGGAGGTCGATGTACCGAGTCGAATGAAACACGGATGTATAAGAATGGAACGACGGTAGGTCTCTGGTAAAGGTAGAAGTGTTCCAAGATTTGATGGAGAGTGAGTATTTGATTACCCATTCGAGGACATGATATCACTACTGCCAAACCCTTCATTTATATTCTTCGCTTCGGACACTTGCGTTATGAAATACGTAACGTTGCTACTTCTCACTATTGGCATAACTTTGACTGCGATTATCAAACTGTTACGCCGTACCGTTTCCGCACGTCTTCCAATTTTCGATCGCTAACATTACGATTGAAAACCTATTCTTTAGCTGACACTTTGAACTTGAATTACGGAACCAAAGTAACAAAAAGTTCCGCTTTATTTTCTCTGCCCAGACCATGTGCAAAGTATAAGTTCACTAGTCTACAGTTTCTTTGTCCCATCTCGGGCGATTAATTAGTCAAGGATTCGTAAAATCCTTACAATAGCAAATGCCGTATTGTCGCATCTAGTAGAGGCCGATCGACAAATCAATTCGCATGACGAATGCATACAAATCTACCCTGTGCCCGGACGAGCTTGTTGTGGGCAGCGGAGGTCCTTGCAATTCGGATACAAAAGTCGGATCCGAGCATACATAAAAATATCCGCTCAAACACGTATGTTACCTTGACCATAGGCTAGCGAGACTAATGTCGGTCGCGCCACTTCGCATCGACCAGACCAGTCAAGGAGGTTCATCCATTAGACACTGCTTCAGTGATTCATTGTGTTTAAACCCCTTCTGTCAATTCTAGACTGCTTACTTGGGATTGCATTAGGCTGATGATGAAGCAATGAAAACAACCTGTTCACAAGCTTTTGGTTCTGAAAACTTGAACCAGCAAAACTGCACACAGACAAGCGACAGCCTTTCCCCATATATTCCGGCCACGTAGTTGTTGGTAATGATCATTTCTATCGCATCGATTATGAAACTTTGAGGACTTAGGTGCAACCCTCTTCTGATGACCACGACATTTTCAAAGTTCACATCGTGCCATTTGTCTAATACATGGGTCACTACAGCTACATCCATCAACAGAGCACAATACTCCAAGGAGTTTCTGGGTGGCCATGATAAGCGCTGCTTGTGTGCTGATGTTCTCGTGCTCAGTAATCTATCCATTTGGCTTGTACTCAATTATGCACAAATGTAAAGGGGATTTTGTAAGCTCAGTTAGCAGTTCCATATAAAGAAATGGAGTCTTTCAAGTGAATCAGCATCGACCGTAGCGTCTGGTCCAGATAACGGTACATATGGACGTTAACAACCATGTATTGAAGTGGAGAATATCAGGACAACAGGAATAGCAAGAAGCCGGAAAAACTCCGGGGTTCATCTAGAGCTGGCATTCGGGGCAGAGCATAAATCAATGAACAACGGGGCCGTATAGAAAGCCGTGTGGGCCAAATGAGCAATTTAACACCGGTCAACAGGAAGAAGAAACCAATTGTTCGGTCAGCGTTCTACTTGCTCATCCGACCCAAGGAATCAATGTGGATGGGAGGAAGCCAAATTATCATCCAAGGACCGGAAATAAAGTCAGTTTCGCAATAGGTGCACTGTCAACGTTAGTTAGTCCAATGATCAAAGGGCCGAACTCGGACGATAGGCCAATGATTTATCCGCAGGGAAGACAATCAATATTCTTAAGGAATGAATTACCTGGCTCGAAAAAATGCCTTTCAGAGTAGGCTTCCAAGATCCAATTCATCACATCGTTTGCATTATGAAAACAGTGAAACAATGGACGGATAAGAAGAGCTCAACAGATTCCACCAGAGATACGAGGATAAACAAACGTTAATAGCGATTGCATCGCACACTCACCCGAGTGAACATCGTTCATGTGTCTTCGCAAATAACCTTTCTTTGAAAAAGATTTTACACAGTGCTCACAGGAATGGGAGCGTTGTTCTGAACCGGGGAACAGTAAGAGAGTAACTACAAATGAAGCACATAATCTGTGAAAAAGGAAAAGCTTAACGACGAACAATAAATAAAGTGGCCGACTATATAGGCAGTGACTACAGAAACTGCCTATGAGCATAAGAGATTTAAATGAAGATAATGCGTAGATTAATGCTGATGACAACTAATGATATCAATAATAAGGACTGGTTAAAACAATCACATTATGTATTGTCTCCAGGAATTAAAGTGCGCAAAGTGGACAGAAATCTCACTGAAACGGCAACACTTGTCAGCTGGTGTACCCAACGACAGCACCTGTTCCGCTTGGGACCAAATCGCTCCATTGCTAAATTAGCTATGATCCATCCGCATATTCTAAATAGTCACCTCTAACGAGACAGGCCTTTTTCGTTGAATTTCGCCATCGACATGAAGGTTATTCCGCTCAGAAATGCAATACGTGGCCACACCTGTCACAATCCCAGTGCAAGCACCACGCGGGTACCGAGATTGTCGCACAACCTCTGTTCATCCATATGCATCTCGTCAGTACGCGATTTCAAACGTGATGAAGACATGAGGCCTTAATGTGCAGTACGTCCGGTCTACCGCGATAAACGTTATCGTCAATCCCACGGGCGCTGATACAACTTCCCAGGTAGTTGAATTTTTGAACGACTTATAGCTGATCACCACCAAGGGTCAGCGAAGGAGGCGGTCCAGACCAATCTTGGGGGAACGCTTTGCACTTCGAGGGTTCGAAGCAAAGCCCGAAGTGACGGACAGCTAGTGCTAATCTGTCCAGTGCCGATTGGCACGGCTGGGAGCTGTCACAGATTAGGGCAATATCATCAGCAGACTCTATGTCAAGAAGTCGTTCTAATGGGAGCAGATCCAAACCTTCTAAGTCGTGTCCTGTGAACGCGATTTCCATGACTTCGTCAATAGCGAAGCTGAAGAGGAAAGGTGACAGCGGGCATCCTTGTCTCACACCGCTGGAGATATTAAACGGCGACGATAATTTGCCGTAAGCCCTCACTCTGCCCGGGCTACACGCATATAATGCTCGGATGATATTTACATATTTCTCAGGTACACCTTTCCTGAGTAGACAGTCTCAAAGTGCAAGTCTATCCACAGGATCGAATGCACCTTTGATATCGAAGAACACGACAACGGTGGGCCGCGAATAAATGTGACGGTGCTCCAACAAAACGAAATACAACATGAAGAAAACGACTTTTTCGGTTTTACACACGCCGCTTTGGGATTTTTTGTGTTTTGGAGTTTTATGTTCCATGAGACGTTAACTAATAGATAACACGGTTGAACAGCACTGTCTCCACTGATGCCGGTTGCGCGCCATAGCCTCCAACGTTTCTAACCACTGGCAGTCCGAATCGCGTGGTCCCCATCCTGGAAGGCGGACCCGTCCGACGGATGCTAAGCTTGAGGTTGCATTCCTCATGCTCCTTCTCCACGTCATTGGTTGTCCACCGCGGCACTTTTCCAATCGCTTCCGGGAGCGCAAATAACGCTCGGCGGGGAAGGCGATAGGCCGGCATGCGCAATACGTGGCCGAGCCAACGCATGCGGTGTTGGAGAATAACGTTCTGAAGACTGGCACTACTCGCTCCAAGCACTCGGTCTCGGACCTCTGCGTTGCTTACGTGGTGTTGCCACCACACCCGAGCAATCCTTCGTAGACAGCGATTGTCGAAGACTGACAACCGCTTCATGTCTTCCGAGCGAATAGGCCAAGTCTCACAGCCGTACAAGAGTACTGCACGGACGGAAGCATTGTACACCCTGCCCTTGAGCTTGAGACTGACATCACGACGACGCCATAGGTGTCTCAGTTTGATGAATGCAAGGCGGCCTTTGTAATCCGTTGTGAGACTTCATCTCCAACACCGCCACCAGCCGTGATGCAACTCCCTAGATAAGTAAAGCAAGGGACTTGCTCCAGAACATGTCCAGCAATGGTGAGCGCGGGTTCAGGCACCTGCCAGTCCTGGAGCAGCGTTTTACATTTTCCCGGAGTGAAGCATAAGCCGTACTTAGACGCCTCCATCGCTAAGCGGTCCAAAGCGCTCTGGACGGTTTGTGGATCGTCCCCCAGCAAGGCGATATCATCGGCGTAGTCCAAGTCCGTGACTCTGTCTCCAGGGAGGAGCTCAACACCGCAGTTCTGGACACCTTCCAGTGCTCCTTGGACGACATCTTCGATGGCAAAATTGAAGAAGAAAGGTGAAATAGGGCAACCTTGGCGAACACCGCTGGTCACAGCAAATGAAGAAGAGAGCGTGCCGTAACCCATGACTTCGCCCGATGTGTGACAGTTCTTTCAGGATGGTTACAAACTTCTCGGGCACATCTTTCTTCAGTAAACAGTTCCACAACGCAGATCTATCCACTGAATCAAATGCCGCTCGGATGTCCAAGAACACTACGATTGTTGGCCGCCGGTGGATGTGACGGAGTTCGAGAAGTTGGCGGAGCGTGAAGATTTGGTCGATGCAGCCGCGGCCTGGACGAAATCCAGCTTGCTCTTCTCAAGAAAACTCCTCTCCAGTCACTGAAAGCCTGCGAAGTAGGACAGACATAAAGATTTTGGATGCGACAGTGGTCAACGAGATTCCGCGGTAGTTATAGCGATCGTCACGGGAGCCTTCTCCAGCTCAGTACGTTTCGCCACAGTACTGAGGGAGAGAATGTTAAATTTACGCCGATTCACGGCGGGAGTGCAATACATAGATTTACGAAAATATATGTACAGTTTGGTCCGAACCAATTTGTGATCAGTGCCACAGTCAGCTCCACGTGTCATGCACACTTCACGCATATCACGCTGACGTACGATGAGATAGTCGAGCAGGTGAGTGCGACCACACCGTGGGTGCGTCCAACTTGCTTATATATCATTCGCACTCAGTGCAAGCCGAGTGTTCGTGATCGTCAGGTCGTGAGTGGCACACAGTGAGAGCAGCCTGTCACTATTTGCATTCGCTGAACCAATACCAAGCGGACCGATTACATCTGTCCACACCGATGCATCACGCCCAACGGAAGCGTTGAAATCACCCAGCCGATATAGTCGGTCGCTCCTCGGCACAGACCGCAACACAGGAGGATAGCTGAGTGTAGAATTGACCACGCGTGGCATCAGGATAACACATGGTCGGACCGTACGTGCTTATAAAGGTGGCAAACTTACCTCTTCCGAGTTGTAGGCGAAGAGTCATCAGTCGCGCGCTGATGCCTGTTTGTTCACTCACCAGCTGGCCATGGAGGCGATTACATATCGCAAATCCGACCACATATTCATGTGATGCTCTAGTGACGTTTCCCACCCAGTAGAATAGGTAGCCAGCACCTGCTTCATGCAACTTACCTTGCTCAGCGAGCCGAGTCTCACTGAGTGCCGTATTATCGATATTGCAGCTCGCCTTATCCATCGCGATCAGTGCAATGCGTTACTCGGGGCGCTTACTCGAGTTCCGGTCCAGTAGTGTGCGCACGTTCCAGCACCTGATGCTGAGGGGTTTGCGCGCAGGCATACGATTGCATTGGTGGGCAATCGCACGCAAGATGGTCTTTGTGCTTCGAAGATTTGCTTGGGGGACTCCACCCGGAGCCTTTGGCTCAATAGCCAGACCCATAATGCAGTGGGTGGTTTGGAGTTTTGGATGACGGCATGTATGCAGGCGTAGGCGTCCTGTCTGGCCACAGTGACAGGCAAATCCGAAACAGGATGCCGCCAAGCATACGAGGACGACACCAATTGATTTCAAGCATGGTGAATATACCGTAAAGCGGGTTCATGAAGAGTTCGTTTGGTTGCACAACTACTTGGTGGAGAACGAAAGCTAAGCTGGCTATATCGTAAGTCCTGCTGCTTCTGTATATAATTCGTTATGCCCCCGAACATCGAGGACTTTGTCCGTGTTTCGAACACGCGTCCCTGCTTCACATCGTGTGAGTTAGGAGAACGGAGCGATAGTCTACCTTTGCGATCAAATAACGCCAAGTGCTGATACGACTACTCTCACGCACTGAGAGCTCTAAATGCTGATGGGGACATCTTTGGTGTTTCTCTCACATCACTCTGAGCGACACCGATAAATTCGCCACGTCAGGTGCGGCCAAGTTGGCCGAAGCAACGGAATTAACCGAGTTTTTATTCCAAGTGAATGTAGTCTACATCTAGAACACATGTGGCAAAAAGAACGCCAGTTTTCTTCAGGCCGAGTAATGAGCCCTGAGACTGAGTTGTTTGCTCTTGGCGAACACATGGAAAACACATCAAACGGCTGGATCAGTAGGAGTATTGGTCTTCTTAAACTGGATACGTTTCATTCTACCTTATCTGGTTTGTTCTGCCTAACAAAATAATTTTCTATTAACTGACACAGGTTGAGAACGCTAACTGTTGTTAGCTTCGTTAACATTATCGCGTTTGTGGCAACTTTTGAATAACGTGTGCACATTTTGTACTTATCGTGGATTCGTTGCTAAACCAACATAATTCATATACTAATTTAGCGAAGAGCTATTTCGGCATAACCGTACGCTTCAACAGACACATTTTATTTGATGATGTCATTTCAAATGACTGGCTGCAGTTTGACATCCCCGGTGTGGCTGCGCTTGATGTGCATGTTGACAAGATGCCTACCTGTCTATTACCCACTACCTCGTCCATACTGGCTCTAGGAGACAGTTGGTCGTTGCTGGAGGGGACGGGGTGCACGGTTCTTGTGGCCGTGTTAAGATCAAAGAGTGGTTCCATGTACTCAGTGTGGAGAGGACTACGGTCCAGCCACCGCCTTCTGTGCGCTTGATTTCCCAAATACAGAGTGCTTATGTTTGCCTGTGAAGGAGTGTGGGCCGGCTCTGTTGATGAAACGTGGCTCCCATCCACATACTTCCCAGTCTTATTCCCGCGGGTTTACACTGGATATGGGGTGTGTGGTTGGAGTTGGGTGGTGCAGCGCAAGCCATTC